ATTGGACACTCTACTGAAAAAAAATAAAAAAACAATTCCTCTAAGTTTCCTGGAAACCATTGGGAGAGGAATGGGACAGGAAAGAGATACAAGTATCTTCCCTTACTGCAGCTAAAGTAGAAGCTCAATGTTTCTTTTATCTTGACAGATAACCAGTCAGCACACACATAGCTTGGCGCCAACCCCAACATGTGTTGCCTCTTCTCCAGCTGGATAGATAGAAGACAGCAAGATGTTGTGGGACATGCCATAGCACACTTGGAGGTGGAGACGTGGAACTCTTGCAGTGAGAGATGGAGGAACAGACTGTACAAATCTATGAAACCATATTTCAGCATTTCTGCTGTCCAAGGAACATCTGCCATCTGTTTGGACGGAAGTGAGGGTAATTATAAAAGGGTGTGAGGATGGCTAAAGGAGAAAGGTCTTAAATATGTAGGAAAACCAGGCTACATTAGTTCTGCTGCTTATGGCATAACACAGTAGTTTTCAGCCTTTGTTATTCCCATCCTGGAAACAATTTTGAACAACAGCTTTTGTCTAGTCAACATATTTTTGAATCATATTATTCCGTTTCTTAGTCAGGAAAGGACTTTGTGAATAATGGAAGAGGGATTTAATGCCCACAGTTTACTGCAAGACTTAGAAAAGGAACATATAAGAAAGTAGCTAGTAAGGGGGAGCTCCATCAAGGAATTACAGCCAAGGACTAGAGTTCTCAGTGTAACAGAAAAGGGGTTGAGATCAGGGAATGACATCCCAGGAAAAGGAAGGATATATCCTGATTTTACCATTGATCAGCCTTTTCTCTTCAATTGGTGATACACTGAATAAAATTTACCAATGCCCCTTTCCCTGAAAGCAAAAACTTCTGGAAGGCCAAAAGCATATAGTATAGTTTTAAACAGCTATAAAAATGCCCACTAGAAATAATATGGTTGAACCTAGCACAACTGGAAAATAGGCTGGTACTACTAGACAGTCTTTGAATACGTTAGACTTAAGGTTTTTGAAAACACACACGATCATGAAATGCTTTGATTTTTCTGCTTTTAATTCTAAAATGTTATAAAACTACTTCATCGTACAAAAAATATATATGGCTTACAAAGATGCATCAATGATTTGTTTGAAATGTGTTTAGCTCATGAAATCCTCTCATCTCTTCAAACAGGTATTTGAGAGCACAGATGTCATCTGTTTTCAAAGCCAGTCTGACCTGATATATAGGGTTTCTAGATGTAACACATTTAGGGTGGCCTCTCCTAGGATGGGCCGGAAGAAGAGCTGTTCAATAACATTTGCATCAATGTCTTGAAGAGAGGCGATTAGCTGAAGAATCCAAGTGAACCTGCCTAGGTTTCCATTGAACATCATTGAGATAAACTCCATCAAGGCCTGCTGAGCTTCCTGCTGCAGTGTTTGTACATAGGGGAGACATTTTAGGACATAGCATCCTGTCAAAACAAAAATAAAATAATAAATCTTGAGTACACACTTTCATTCTGATCCCTTTGTAATGATGGGTGTCTGTCTGGCTTTCTAGCTCAAAGTACTGCTTTCTCTAGAAAACAATAAAAACTTTGTAAACATTTTTTCAGAAAAAAAGATAAACGTAGTTCAATAATTTGAAGCAACATTGAGCAGCATTGTAAGCACATTGGAATCTAGCCCATTACATTAAATCTAGCTTTGAAATGATAACAGGAGGTAACTTTGACTCGGTACAGATGGAGAAGCAGCTTTATAATGTTGTCTGCCCACCAACGATGCTGAGACTGTAGTCTGAGAAGGTAGAAACCTTCCAGTCCTAATCTAAAATGGGTAGGAAACATCAAGAAGATGGAGGTGGTGGTTTTCAGCAGCGAGCATACTGGCAGTCTGAAGACATAGGTTTCCAGTCTGCCCAGCACCATCTCCCTCTGATTGCTGCCTCTGCTTGCTAGACTAAGCTGGGGCAGTATGGTTGACCATGCTGTCTAGATATCTCCATTTAACGTCTAAAAAGAGCATAAAGATTCCTTGTAAGATTTATCATGACCCACAGGAGTAGGATAGATAAGTGCATTTCTTGGTTTTGTATTCTGTTTCCTCAGTCATTTCTGAAGAGGGAGAGGTCTCTGCCTTATGGAGCCATGGCCTTGAGTCTCAATCACATACCTCCCATGGCATATGACTTCAAATCTGCTGAGGGTCACTGAGGGTCTTTGTGGGTGCCAGGGCTCAGTTCAAGGCACATCCCATGTTCATCCTTTGCCTCTGGTGGGATTGCCTTGTCATGTGGCTCCTGACAACCTGTTGCCTCCTGTCCTCACTGCCTGAAGATAACACCATCTTTTCTTTCACAGAATTGCTGCAGCCTGGAGAGGGGTAGCATGAATCCCCGAATTTTGACTTCTGCCTCTCCTGCCTCCCACATCTTATTTTAACCTATCTCCCAGCACACACTTCAGGTCCATATAGCATCTTCTATAGTGATTGATTCCATACCTCCCTGGGACGGGATCTGAATAGCTTATGCCAGGGATTGTTTCACACTATATCATTTGTTTAAGTGTGGGAGGTTCTGCCATCTTGCCTAGTGCCCTGCATTAGGGCAAAACCAGCCTGGTTGGGTTTTTTTTCAGTTTGTGGCTGGCTGCCCTTTGTCAGTCTTCAGCAGCTCTCTTCTCCCTAGATACCACTTCCAGAGAAGAAGAAGCCTCAGCAGAGCCTGCAACCAGGCTAGACAGAAATGAAGGGTTTGTCATTGCTTAGGGCAAAAGCAAAGCTCTGCCATTTTTATTTGTCATTCTTCTTGCCCAAGCACTGGCCTAGCTGTGCTGCTACAGCTGCATTTCTGGGCACCTCATTGAACTCCAACTCATAACCCAGCTCTGGACTGCTCCGTGTCTGGTCCTTCCCCTTTGCCTCAGCCAGTTTTGGTGGTCCTGAAAGGAATAAAAGATACAGAGTAGGAGCCCACAGAAGGTACTCCATGATCCAGGAGAGGGTTTAGCAAAGTCACTGCTGGTGGCAGCCTGAAATCCACTTAGAATAGAGGTCTGTAAAAGATAGGATTTGGCTAAACATCAAGCCAAAACTAAGAGGGCAGCTGAAAACCTGCTGCACGTATGTAGAAAACATTTTTGGAGTTTAATAGAAAGTGTTCAAAAACTATTGAAAATTATAATTGTGAAATGACAGCTGTACAAATTTGTTTACACTAAAATAGGTAGCGAAAGGGCAGTTTGGTCTGTGTGTAATCCCTGAGTACCTGTTTCAGCCTAGAGTTAGACTGTGACTTTTTGTTTCATCCAGAGTCAATCCAGACTTAACTGAGGTCCTCCCAGCTGCCTTCTGCAGCCCGTGGAGAAAGGAGCCTCCAGAGAGCAGGATCAACCCACCTAAAGAGTAGGGAGTCTCCCTGAAACTCTGGACAGTGTCTGCAGACAGTGTGAAGGGCTGCTGGGCCTCTCATATGGCACCCTGGGGAAACAGCAGCAGTCAGAATGCACAAATGCAGAACATAACACTGCTTCTGCTTCTGCTTTCTGCTTCATTAAGTGAAAATCATTGTGAAAATCCACAGAGAGAATAAAAATGCCTGCTAGTTAAACTGTGTAAGTCACTGCAGATGAGGGATTTCTCTTCTTATCATCACCCTGGATATAACCGGTGGTTTCTTTCAGCCTGATTTTATTGTGAAAAATTGAGAAATTAACTTGCACTGAAATGAACTCCACTGGTTTGGTGCTGCAGCATAGACACACAAGACAATACCAAACATCTGGATGATATTACATCTCAAGAATCAGAATATGAATCCTATTGGAAACAAATACAAAGTCACTACAGCCTTTGAGCAGCCTATAAACCATTTACCACAAGAAATATCATGGAATAACTGAAGTATTCAAGTATCCTTTTGGTCCAGTCCCAAGTATAGCACAGTGCTGACAGTGCAGCCAACAGCAGTGATTGCTGTGGAAGGAGTCGAGGATCTGAGCCAGAGCAGACTGGAGTCAATAGTCTTTCCATTTACTTTAGTGGGCTTAGAGCTCAGCTTCTAATGACTCACACACTCTGCAGTGCTGACCTAGGCAACCTTCCTCCCTAAAGAGTCTGAACTTGGCACCAGAAGTGAGAGGATGCAATCACTAGTCTGAGTTTGCTCCATGACTGCTGTCCCAGGCTTTGAACACAGAGATTCTACAGGATAAATAAATAAATAAAAGCTGTGTAACCTCAACATAGGATCATTTTGCTTCATTGATGAAAAACAGATGATATAGATTATCTTCTCCAATGTTCTTGCTACAGAGGAAGTCTTTGTTAAAATACTTCTAATACGTCCCATCCCCATGTACCATCTCTCCTTTGCCATACTATGGGTGAGACTGCTGTATTACCTTCAAACTGGAAATAAGTTTGAAGTGACAAAGTCAATTATTTATGACTTAAAATTTGTCTAATAGAAGGTGTTTTGGCTTACAGTGACTGACTGCCCACATCCAAGGAACCTAAACAAACTATTTCAGGTAGAAAATCATTAAATTGTGGAACACAGATTTTTGAGAACATTTAGCTATATTAATAGAAAAGAGTAAAACTAAACATTTGTCTATATACAAATGAAAATTACAAATGTCCCTTTAGGAACATAATAATCTGTGTAATTTCCAGGAGGACTTACCAGAATTAAAAAGAATAATTCCTTTAAGATAGGCATATTCTTTTGCACTTATATCCAGGTCCCAGAACTTCCACAATAAATTCTTCATCTTCTGAACTTCTGCAAAAGATGCTCCCAGTGATGAGCTACCCACTTCATTTCTAGCTGTCAAAGACTGATTGAGGAGGATTGTTTTCAATAAGCTAGGGGCTGAAATCTCTCTCAGGTCAAAATCAACCCCTTCTTGTGCCAGGCCCAGGACAAAAAGAGGGGCCCAGTTCTGCTGTATGAGGACAACCTGATCCTCCCCAGGCATGTGATAAAAAGAAGGCAAGTTTCTAATAAAAGTTAAAGTCTTCAAGAGCACTTCAGAAGCTATTCTGCACGTGGTTTCTGGTGTTTCCAGGACAACTCTTCTCCTGTCCACACAAGAGCAGCCTCGGCTTCCCGTGGAGCGGTGGGGACTACGATACTGCTGGTGCCACTTGGTCTCACTCGCATGCTCTTTGTTAAGGATCTGGTACAGGATGCTCTTAGCATGGTGTGTCTCACTCGGACATTTCTCAGCTGGGATCTGGATATCCATAGAGCCCAATGTGTCCTGTGGGTCAGCCCTGCTGTGGCAGGAAACAGCATGCATGGAGCTATGCACCAGCAGCGAGGGAGAGCACTTCTGCCGCACAGCGAGGCACTGTGTGCTTTTTATACACCCCGGCAGTTGGAAAGTGATATGACCCTGATCTGTAGAGTTACCTTGAACTTTATTTGCACCAGTCTGTTTGGAACCAGGCGGGGCTGCCATGGTGCAGGGCTGCCGTAGCCCTGGGGGAGCGGGAGGGCTGGCGCCTGCCGGCAGCACGGCCACCACTCAGGGCTGTGCCCTGGCGTAGGCAGGCTCTGCCTGCCCTTCTGCCAGTGCCTGTGGCTCTGTGCTCCTGCCACCAGCAGTGGCACTTTTGCTGACTGGCTATGTAACACGTATGGCCTGCCCCTGAGGGGAAGCCCAGAGAACACTGTGATGCCATAAGTAAAGAAGCAGCAAGTTGTCTGTATTTTTATTGATACACTAACCTTGTCCACTAGCTAATGCTCTGGAGTGCACAGAAACACATTTATACTTATGAGTGATGCTGTGGTAGCAGTCCCTTGAGTCAGCGCTTTTATTGCATAGAATCATAAAATTGTTTTGGTTGGAAAAGACATTTCAGATCATTGAGTCCAACCATAAACCTAACACTGCCAAGTTCATCTCTAAACCATGTCCCTAAGCACCACATCTACAGTTCTTTTAAATACCTCCAGGGATGGTGACTCCACCACTTCCCTGGGCAGCGTATTCCAATGCTTGAAAGACCTTTCGGTAAATAATTTTTTCCTAATATCCCATCTAAACCTCCCCAGCACAACTTGAGGCCATTTTGTCTCATTCTATTGCTTGTTACTTGGGAGAAGAGACCAACACCCACCTCACTACAACCTCCTTTCAGGTAGTTGTAGAAAGCAATAAGGTCTCCCCTCAGCCTCCTTTTCTCCAGGCTAAACAACCCCAGTTCCCTCAGCTGCTCCTCTTAAGACTTCTGCTCTAGACCCTTCACCAGCTTTGTTGCTCTTGTTTGGACATTTCTTGTTATAAGAAGCCACCTGACCACACTGTGGATGTCTAACATTACTTTTCATAGAGCACTTAACAGTGCTTATGCTTTACACTGTAGCTAATAGGATGTGACACCTATGTCAAGGAGCTCACAGGTGAAAGTCTTGGTGATGGAAATCCCATGAACAGGAATTATTTTGCATTCCTGGGAAATTTGAGAGAAACCTTAGAGAAAGTCAGCTGCTATAGCTCATGACAATGTCATGTCCTGCATTTCAAATATGAAAATTTCAAATACAGAACATGCAGACTTCTCCCAGACTTGCTGTGTAATTAAATGTTCTTCATACAAGCTGTGGAAATAAAACTGATAAAGAAAGAGAGCAAAATGGCAATTAGTACTGTTGTATGTATGAACTTTTATAGCAGAGCAAGCACTGAATGCTAGAGTTGCCAGGACACTTCAGTCAACATCAGGGAACATTTAGCAGGAATTCAGGGAACTCAGCCTTAATAAGAATAAAATGATACTTCAAGTTTTTGTTACTTTGCACTCTCTTGCTTGCTCTTACATAGGGGAAGAGGTACTAAGTTTTTTCACCAAGCATAATGTTTATACATTCCTACCGTCTGGGCTCTTAGCATGTCTTAGCAAAAAATGAGAGTTAAAAACAACAGCTCCAAGAGCCTCTTCTGATAGATCTCCAAGTCTTAGGTGTGTAAAGACCTAAGACCTATGACCTATGCATCCCATCAGATGCATAGTCACAAATTTGTCCTGTGCTACAACTGTTAGTTTTTTCCATGCTGGGCCATTTTAAAATTTCTCTTTATTTACCTCTCCATTATATTTATATTGCAAAATGTTCCCCTTCTGAGGACATAAAAAAGTGGAGGAAGAGAAGCTAGTGCTGCTGAGGTGCAACTACCACTAACTGCAGTGAAGGTCAAGGAGGCCAAGAGCACCGAACACCAGATGGGATTTGCTTGTCCACCTCTCCATCCACTCAACAGCTCTCCACTGTTATCCATTGCTGGGGTATCAAAGAGGTTAGGTTAAATGGCACAGCAACAGAGAAGTCCCCAGAAAGTCCCTTTCTTCTTATTCTCACTGTAAAATTCTAGCTGGGCTGAGGTTCGGTGAAAAGAACTCCAGTTGCAGGGCTAATGCCATGTGAGGTTCTGCATGAGTTACATAGATTGGCTAGTGGCTGTAGTAGAAAGAGAGACTGAGCTTGCTAAAATCATTCTTACATGGAGTTTGCTTGTGAAAAGAAATTCTGCCTCCTAATTGCTGGTGAGTATGGTGGTGTTTTAGTAATCTAGGTAGAAGAGTGAGCTCTGATAAACCCAGCTTCTGTCTGCAAGGAAAAAAAATCTCTGACTTCAGCTGAAATCAGCACCATTTCACAGTTCACCATTATTTCAACCTCACACTTCATGTCATCATTTCATAGTTCCTATGAATTGTGCTTATTAAAGTTCTAATCTAGATTAAATTGGCTCCTTTTCTACTTTTTTTTTTTTTTTCCAAGGTCTGCATCAGTCAAATGCAGAGTCCTGATGTCAGTAAGATACGGTATTGGATACAATATCTATTCATCATCATTGATTTCCTTTGATTATGTGTAGTTCTAAGAGGCAGAAGGAAATGGCATTTTTCTAAGAGAAATTCCTGGTGTATTATAATAGTTTTATGACTGTTTACCAAAAATACAGAATAAAGGTAACTGCCTCAGTACAACTGCTGAGGACACATCATCAGCTTTTCTGAGAGAATGATTACTTAGACCTGTAATTCAATATTGAATTGCAGGTGAAACTGAACATGGCAGTCCTGATTCAAAATTGTCTGAAATGAGCTCTTTATATGACCTGATTTTCTCAAATGTAGAGGACCAGTAGCTTCATTTAGCTTTCTGCTCATAAATTAGACAACAGTTATTTTTTCTTTCTAAATCTTGCCTGTAGAATGGTTAAAGCCACATGCACCTAAATATTAAGCATCTACAATCTTGCTACAGAAGTGATGTGTCTTACTTTCAAATGTTAAGTATACTGTACAAAAAACCCTCGATTTTGTAATATGAGAAATCCCCATGGACTTTTATGTTTTAGCTGTTTCTAGCATGAGGGTTTGAGAACAGTCATATCAGTGTTATTTTTTGTTTTGCATTTATATACTTTTTCAGTCAACAAAGCACACACACACAAAAATATTCACTCGCTGCCACCACATTCTCTCTTCAACCATCAGAATTGTTCCTCTAGCACAAGTGCCACCACTTGGACAACAAAAAAAATGTATCCTAAGTCCACACACAAAATTGCTACAGACAGCTGGTGGGTTTTCACACCATTGCTTGGAATCGTCCTGCTCCAAGCAAGGCTGCCACCTCCATCTCTCTCATGAGTAATGTTTTGCACACCTGCATATTACTGTTACAGGTACTGTTACACTTAATATAGCTCTTCATCTCCATCATTTAGGTGATTCACACACAATGCAACCTTTTTCCTAAAACCCCTGGATTTCTCAGATTTGTGAAAACTGCCTGCTAGGAATAGATGGTCTCAGGCTTCTACCTTCTCTGATCAGTGTGCAACAGCAGAGTCAGTGTAATAAAGTCAGCAGGAGCTGAGGAATATTTGTTATTATTAAATATCCAGTGACTCATGCACATTCTTAAATATCTTATTGGGTCCAAAAGTATAAGGCATGTAGTATTTTTGGCCCTTAGGCTATAGCCTTAATTCACTTAATAGAATATTTGGAAGGCAGAAGAGACTTGTCAGATAATATAGGAGCTTAAGTGGACATCTCATCCTTACCTTGGCAGTAGTCAAACATGAATACTTCAGGAAGAGCATAAGATATCTACCACTCTTCTCATGAGTAGTGTTCTTGCCTTCAGTCATTTGCAGCCTAGGAAATTCCTAAACCAGAGTGATTTTATGCATTTTATAACTCTCAATTAATTTCTACCTTCTGATCTCTTGCAGTCTGCTCCTGAAGCCACGTGAACATCCACATCAGCCTATGTCAAGGAGCTCTGTGGATGCTGTACGTGAGACAAAACTTGATCAAACATGACATTTGCTGGATTTGGTGCCTTCTTGCTTTTGTACTGGGGGAAAAAAAAAATGAATCAGTCAGTCCCTGCTCACCCTCTCTATAGCTCTCTTGATTGTATTAATCTTGGTAAGAATCTGACAGTCATCCTTTGTCCAAACTAGAGACGTAGCTTCCAAATTGTTTTTTCTTTAAAGTGGTACCATGCCTTTGATCATCTTGTTACCCTTCTTTGAACCTTTCTTAGCCCTATATCTTTTCTAAGGTATTCCTTAAGGGGAAATAGGGAAACTAGTAATTAGTTCAGAGGTTCTCATCTTAGTCAGGAGTGGAGTCAGGATTTTTTTATCCTATGTGCATCTTTTGCTATGTACATACATACACTGAATCTCATCTATAATTTGACACCTAATCAATTATTTTCATAAAGCCCTTCTGCAATTCTTCTGGCAGCCCTAATCTTCCTCTGAATAATTTTGTATCATCAGCAAACATTCACATTCTGAAACTTTGAAGGCACTGCTCTTCAGAATAGTTCACTCAATGCTGTGAGTTGTTTAAAAGACTATCATAATTTAACTGCGGGGCAGAAAATCTGACATTGTCCTTGAAGTAGAGTGTCTGTATATACAAGAACATATATATTGATGTAAAATGTATATAGGAACTATGTTATTACTAAGTGGTGATGTGAGCTCTTCTACTTTCCTAAAAGGTGAGACTGGACACAGATGCATTTCTGGAGGAGAAGAATCTTCCACAATTATTTCCTATGGGCTACAAGAAGGAAACACCCTCCTAGGAAGCTGATAGCAGCCTTTTTGTGGTCATCCTGTCTCATCAGTCTGATACATGCATGTATTCCTTGATTCAGTGATCTGTTATCTCTCTGGTCTCCCGTAGAGACATTTAATTGGCC